TTATTTGACATTAGTTCGGGGAAATACAGACACGCGCCATATCAGTGAAATATACCTGAACGCGACTTTAAACCTCAGAGAAGCCCCTAGAGAACTCGGGTGTATAAAATTTGTGTCATTGGCGCATAATCACCACATTAAATGTTCGAGTGCGTACGTGTACGTCATACAATGTGGGTGACATATGTCTTCATTCTCTTTTTTAGGAAGGAACGCCAGCATATAGGTTATTGTCAATGTTTCCATGTTGTCAATTTGTGAAATGCCTGAATATTTACATTTACAAATTTACTGTCAATTTCGTTGATTTATTTGACAAATAGAATGATTCTATCATAAGTAAGGTACGGGTTACACATGTGGATTTAATACTCAGTTTATAACATTTTTTTCACTGTCTTGTAAATGTTCTTTACAATGTATTTTACTTGCGTTACTTATTCTTTTAAGCATTTAACGTTTTTTTCCATTGAAGCAAATAAAGAGTACTGAGAACAGTCAAACTGTCAACAAAATAAATGATATTCTCAAACAATCGGTGTTGTGTGTATTGACTGGGGTTTTCAGTTACATGTATGTAAACAAATCATATTGATATAGAAATTATATAACTTACACATACTCACATGAGAAAGAATTTGCTATACACTATACACCACTGAGCAAGTCATTAAAAATACTCCTTCCCAAAAAGACGTTTAAACATAACTGACCTACATGTCTTTGTCGATAAGCAAACTCTCTTATCAGCTGCTTATTAGACTTTCCGACTTTCATTGTCCCTGGAAACTAATCCCGTTAGTAAATACAATAGATATTATCTCATGTTTAACTATCTATTCCACATTCAGTTTTAATGTCGGGGACCAAAGATTTCATTGTTAGTTGACTCAAATTTCAACGCCAGAGACTAACCAGTCTCTACTATCCGCCGAAAAAGATTCCAATTGGCGTAAAAGGCAAAATAACGGCGTAAATGATATGAATGGGTCACTGAAAATCAGCCATGTCACACAGCATTTCGTGAAAAGGGTAATCATGACCTGCTCTACCGGTAGCACCCTCATTTCTTAGACAGGTAGGGCTGGTGATGCATGGCATGATGCAGTGGAGAACATTTGTTCTATATGACGGTCACACACATATACACGCACGCAAGCACGCACGCACGCCACTAAAATATATGCTTAAAGATCATTGTAACGTACATGCAGCAGATGTCTATAAGTCCTGCTTTCAGTATGTTTTGAATACGTCTGCTGCGTCTGCCACCTGTGTATTTTTATGACTTACATTATCTCGATTTTACCAGGTAGTTGTGTGTACGTCAGACCCCCTCTGTCTTCTCTTATATCACTTTACCTTCACCTGTATCCGGTTGAGGTGACCTGTGTGTTTCTCAGTTGTGCTTCTCAGTGAGGGTATGCTTTTGCTGGTGGTGTTTGCTTACGTTGTTAACTGAATTCATTACAGCCTTTGAAATAGTCGCTCTACAACTACAGTTCCAATCTTATCAAATATATTTTCAGTGAAATTCAGAGGCACTGCTTTTGAGATGAGGTAAAAGTGATTTAACATAAAGTTATATTGCGACGTGTGTTGGTCATGGTGGTGGTGAGATATAATGTGTGCATTTCAGAAAGGGAGAAATGTGTCCGAATAGAGTAAATATTTATTTATTTAATTATTTAATTTATTTATTTATTTATTTATTTTTTTATTTTTTTATTTTTTTATTTATTTTTTATTATTTATTTATTTATGTATGCCATGTAACTACACTACCTAATCGAACCATTTGTTTCATCTTGCAATATATTTCCACTACAGTCGTGACTGAAAAGATTTCTTACTAATAACGACTTGAATGTTGACTAAAAGGCCGCAAAAGTACAGCATATAGAAGTTACAAGGTTTATCACATATGGCATGCCTGACTGTCTCCGTGGTGCAGTAGATAAAACGTCTTCCTTGAGAACTGAAGGTTGTTGAGTCGCCCGCGTCAATCACAAAAAAAGCGTTAAAAGATGTTACGAGCTTTTTCCATGCCTAGAGTTCTGCATTAAAGGGATAAAACAAGGACTGTTCGACTCGAAAGCATATCGCACCTGGGTGAGGTATTTTCATGTTAAAGTGTGGCATGGTATCTCACTGGGCTAGAACTGTGTCTGAGTGGGGTATTCATGTTAAACTTTTGCGTAGACACAACTCGGCATGAGACCGAGCTAGTACAAACAGTTGCGCACGCGCACGTGCGCACGCACGCACACACGTCGCTATATAAAAGCAATAATCTTGAACCCGACGGTAAACCCCATTTCACCCATACGTCAAACCGCATCTATTAAATGTCAGTGTATCTTGGCACTATAACAGTGTTAATGGTATAACATAACAAATGAAAATTTTATTTGATTTTTTTTTTTTTGTTATTTAACGCCGCACTCAGCAATATCCCAGCTCAGTCTCTAGATAATCGAGGCTGGACCAGACAATCAAGCGATTGACATCATGAGCGTCGATCTATGCAACTAGGATACGATGACATGCATCAACCAATTCAGCGAATCTGACCCCCCGATCCCGTTAGTCGCCTCTTACAACAAGCATAGTCGTTGTTTATGGCAGGCATGAGTTACTGAAAGCCTACTCTATCTCGGATCTTCACGGGTCACGGCGCCTAAGACGACCGGGTAACAACATTGAGTCGCAGTGTCATTGAGTGGATCCAGTTCGTGTATTGTCGACGCCTTAGACGACTGTGTAACAGTATTGAGAATACACGAACTGGACTAAATGACATTGCGACTTGGCACTATAACTGTATCAGTGTGTCGCAATGTCATTGAGTGGATCCAGTTCGTGTATTCTCGGCGCCTTAGACGACTGGGTAACAGTATTGAGAATACACAAACTGGACTAAATGACATTGCGACTTGGCAGTATAACTGTTACAGTGTGTCGCAATGTCATTCATTGAGTGGATCGAGTTCTTGTATTCTCGGCGCCTTAGACGACTGGGTAACAGTATTGAGAATACACGAACTGGACTAAATGACATTGCGACTTGGCACTATAACTGTTTCAGTGTGTCGCAATGTCATTCATTGAGTGGATCCAGTTCGTGTATTCTCGGCGCCTTAGACGACTGGGTAACAGTATTGAGAATACACGAACTGGACTAAATGACATTGCGACTTGGCACTATAACTGTATCAGTGTGTCGCAATGTCATTGAGTGGATCCAGTTTGTGTATGCTCGGCGCCTTAGACGACTGGGTAACAATATTGAGAATACACGAACTGGACTAAACGACATAGCGACTTGGCACTACAACTGTATCAGTGTGATTAACATAACGCTGACTTCCTGCTTGTTCAGACTCTTACCGTTAGCTCGAGATGTCTTATGAGTATGGAAAGGGTTTTGTCACAGTGACTTGTATTTGGAAAACGCACAGACTGTTTCGGTGTATAAGCTTAGAGTCATTGTCGGATTGTTTCCATATTAAATGGTCGTTTGTGCAGGTGACATAGACGTCCATTCCTTTTTGTTTTGGAAGGGAAATAAGCGTTCATGCCATAGTCAAAATCTAAATTTAGTCTATTTGTAAAAATGCCTGAAAATTTATATCACAAATTGGCTGACAATTTTATGTGATATATTTGACAGATTGACTTAGTCTATTGGTATTAAGATACAGTGATAAATGGGGATTTGATACTGATTTGGTACATTTGTTACTGTCTTGTGTGAACTCCTCACCACGTTTTTAACTTGAGACACTTTATTCAGCATTTAACTACGTCCACTGGAGCAAATATGCAGTACATTATCTATAATTTGTAATTATTTGTAAACCAGTAGAACCAATCGCAACAATTACACGCTGGGGTCACGATTCCACACCTGGCTCTGATTTTACACATGGAAATACATTGCATAAATAAATAAAAAGTTGTTGTTGCCCGAATCAGTACACAAAGACCGCACATCTGCACTTTTAAATAAAGCAAAATGTTTAAGAATTGTGTTTGTTTTGCACCACAGTTGGGGCAATTTTAATGACTCGTGCCCAAACATTTCTTTTGAGGTCAACTAAGCATAATTGATAATGCTGCTGTGCTTTTGATGAAACCAGATCAAATCAAATGAAATCGACTATCCGCCGAAACAGATTTCATTAGGTTGTAAAAGGCAAAATAGAAGAGAAAACTTTATAACATAATTTAACCCTCCTAATGTTTTTGAAAAACCTCAACAATGTTGATCAATAAATTTTGTATATTCTTCATAGGTGTAAAAAGATCAATTTGGAAAGAAATCATAAAATGTGTTGAAATGAAGACAAGTTATTTTACATTTTATTTATACATGCATAATCGGTATGAAAATTATATTACCTTCAGAAAGAAAAACTAAAATAATTTCACATCTAGAAAATAAAACTATATATTCTTCATTCAATTTTATTTGCATGATTAAAATTTACGCTACAATCATACCTGAAACACAGTGTTGTGTTTTGTAGACATGGATTTTATTCAACAGTTGAGAGGGTCATTAAGAAGTTTGAAATGGTGTCAGTACAACAGGCTCCCGCAAAATTTAATTTATTAATCAGGTTCAAAAGAAAAACCGATATCTTGAAAGAACATTGACTTTGAAGTCTGCAGTGTCTATTGGATCCTTTTGTTGTTGTTTTTCTTGATCCTGTTTCCATTTTTCTCTTAGAGAGATACTGATTCTCCATCTATGTTGAGGGTAAGATAATGGGTCATTGTTAAGTTGTCGTCTCTGCTTGATTATGGTTATTTTGGAAACAATGGTCAGTTGAAACCTCTGATAAATGTTAGCTATTAATATAATATTGCTCTATTAGTTGTTGGTTTTTTGGCCACATTTGGACCAACACTAATGTTTTCATCTATCAAGGCCATCCAAGTTTGGGCTTTGTTTTTTTTAATATACCTTCTCAAAAAAGAAACGCATATAAGAATTTTAACTACAGATTTCTTTTTATTTTGATACACTGTGGACAAGTTAATAGCAAATGGAATTCGAAGAAACTTAACACAGGAAATGTCACTGTTTAATAAGACATCGGAAAAAGTCAGTTTATGAATCACACATAGACGTTTGATGGCGCTGAAGTCAGTACCTCGTATGACCACCATTGGCGTTCAGAACTGCGTGACATCGTCTCGGCATAGAACGAATTAGTCTCTGAATCTAATGTTGCTGCAATGTAGCCCACTCTGCCTGTAGTGCATGTGCTAGTTGCTGGAGTGTCTGGGGATGTGGGTTACGCTGTCGCACCCGTCTGTCCAGGGCATCCCAAAGATGTTATATCGTGTTTAAGTCTGGTGATCTGGAGGGCCAGGGCAGCACATTGATGTTCTCATTCTGGAGGAAGGCCCTCGTGACACGTGCCGTATGAGGTCTGGCGTTATCCTGCTGGAATAGCTCCCTCTGGCGGTTGATAATGGGAAGGAAGGTGTGTACGAAGGACTTGATCGCAGAAGCGTTGCGCTGTCAGGTTGCCTTGGATCAACACCAACGCACTTCTTCCAGTGTAGGATACACCCATTCACGACACGATGTGATCCCCGAGTTTAAAGCGCATTGCACGTGCAATACGTGTTCTGTGACATTAAATGCGTCTATCGAAAATCATGCTTTAACATACGGGTTTTTCATGCGGGATGCGTTTGGATATGACGTTTTTAGACAAAAACACCAGATAAATCATAAACAAAACAAATATTTCTGAAAAACCCACCCTGTACCAATACATTGCTGCATCAAATTACCATTTTCGTTATTCGTTTCTTTTTTGAGAGAGTATATTAAAAGAAATAATAAAATCACAATTGTTGATTTTAGTTCCGTGAAGAAATCACCATCATCTTGTGATACTAAGAAAACCTTCTCAAGCAACTCTCATGAAGCCAACGTCGTGTATAGAAAAATCAGCTATTATCAGCTCTATACAAGAATATAGAATACAACATCTGTCAAGCAAAGAGGACGAGGCCAGTCAATCATCATTCTTTATACAGAATGATAAAGATAAACGGTAATCCATCCGATTGTCCGCTCTGGAACGGGTCAGTTATTTTGGAATCTGTTCCTTGGTACAATCTTCTGGTTTGTTTTTCGACCTTTTGGTTCTTTCTTCCCAGTCGGGTCAAGTCTCTTCATCATGTCTAGCATTTGTTTCTGGTTAACTTCCATCTTAGCAAGTCGTTCATCTGTTATTTCTTTCTCAGCCTCCATTTCATAGAACTTCTTATCACTCGCTTCTTTATTGCTGCGAATTTGTTCTTGGAGCCTGCATACTGTCCGCTGAAGTTGTTCATTTTTAGTCTCCAGACTAGAAACTTTAGTCCTCAGGGCCTGAATATGCCGTCGAGCTTCTGCTAGTAGCTCCTCTTTCTTCTCCAGTTCTTGGCGTAGACTATTGATTGTATCTGTGGTCTCTCTGTTAGCTTGACTAAGTTCTTCAATCTTCTGGAGTGTAATATTGACGTTCTTGAGCTCGTCTTCGACATCATGTCTCAATACTACAAGATCTTCCCTTTGAGCTCTGCTTTTTTCAACCCGTACAATTCTTTGCTTCAGTATTTGTACCTCCCTATCTAGATCTTTCGCCTTTTTCTCGTCCTTTAAGAAACACTTTACATCATGTTCAGAAATTTGTGACTGTGTCCCTTTGAGAAGATCTACAAGTTCTTTGTACCCCATTACTTCCAGCGATTCAAGAAAGCCTTGAAATGCCTCAGACCCTCTGAACAAAAGAATATTCAGTAGTCTTCTTGCTCTTTCTTGTCTGTTGGGACCCATGTCAATGGATCCCATATCATGCACATCTATGATCTGCCTTGCAAACAAAGGTCCAGTCAGCTCTTTTGCCTCAATTGTCTCTTCAATTTTCATTATATTTTTCTGTATACAAAGTTCGTCTCCATATTTCATTTTACCTCTCTCGTTTGCGATGCGAGCCATGATGAACTTGAAACTCTTATATTGCTGCAATGATTTAAGATTTAAATATGAATATACATGTAATTGTTTCATATACTTGTTGGCACCAATTTGCATAAAAAAAGTGTCTGTTGCCTGATGTCCCATAGGAGCATTCCTACATGCAATGGCAGCCTGACAGACAATCAAATTATGGACCAGAAAATCGAGTGACACGACAGCACATAGTGTTAGTTTGTTTTTTAACATCGCTATCTGCAATATCCAAGTTTTTTGTTAGCGGACTGTAAATAATCGAATCTGTTGTTTGTTTGTTTGTTGTTTAACGCCGCACTCAGCAATATTCCAGCTATATGACGTAAATAATCGAGTCTGGACCAGACAATCAGTGATTCATGCATCAATCAAGTCAGCGAGCCTGACCACCCGTCTTCCATTACGACAAGCATGGGTTGCTGAAGCCAATTCTAACCCGGCATCTTCACGGGACCGACAGCGCATATACTGATTTGATGAAAGTAAAAGCAGATATACCGTTTATAAGTAATTAAAAACGTTCAAGAAATATGCTTGTTTTGCAACATGGGAAAGGGGTGGAGGAGGGGGTGGGGGGATTGGGTCAGTTGTAATCTCTCGGACCAAAGATTTCTTTGTTAGTTGACTCTTATGTCAACGCCAGAGACTAACCAGTCTCTATTATCCGCCGAAAAGGACTCCAATAGGCGTAGAAGGCGAAATAGCGGTGTTAATAATATCAATGGGTCATCATGGCACATAGTGTTTTATGAAAAGGGTAAGCATGTCCTGCTCTACCAACGTCGCTATATACGTGCGGTAATCTTGGACGCGACGTTAAACCCAATTGCACATCACCTCACATCACCTCACCTCACCACCTGCTCTGCAGTAGCACCCACATTTTTTAGACAGAGCTACCGATACATGACATTATGCAGTGAAGAACAATCGTTCTAAATGAGGGTACACAAATACGCAGGCACACGCACTCGCGCCACTAAAATATATGCTTAAGGATCATTGGAACGTACCTGCAGCTATGTCTATAGGTCTTGCTTTCAGTGTGGTTGGAATACTTCTGTTGCGTATATCCCCTGTATATCCCTATTTTTATAGCTTACATTATCTGGATTTAACCAGGTAGTTGTGTGACGTCAGACCCCCTCTGCCTTCTCTTATATCACTTTACCTTCACCGGTATCCGGTTGAGGTGACCTGTGTGTTTCTCAGTTGGTGCCTCGTAGTTGGACGAGATTTCTCATGAATAATGTATCATGTCTTTCTATGAGGGTATGCTCTTGCTGGTGGCGTTTGCTTACGTTGTTTACTGAATTCATAACAGCCTTTGAAATAGTCGCTTTACATATACAGTTCCAATCTTATCAAATACATTCAGGGATATTCAGAGGCACAGGTTTGAGATGAGGTAAAATGGAGTTTAACACAGAGAGTTTAAGATTATTATGATACATTATACTATGCATTTTAGAAAGGGAGAATGGTGTCCTTCTTCAAATATGCGTTTGGCTGATAGAATAGTTAGTTAGTTAATTAGTAAATTAGTTAGTTAGTTAGTTAGTTAGCATGAGACCGGGCTAGTACAAACAGGCGCGCACACACATCGCTGTGATAGCAATAATCTTGAACGTGACGGTAAACCCCATTTCACCTCACCACACCATTTTCAGCGAAATATAAACAGACGGTCAAATAGTTTGCCAGTTAATCTTGTCAGCATTAAGAGTACATCGGACCGCATCGATTAAATGACAGTGTAACTTGGCACTATAACAGTGTCCATGCTATAAATATAACAAATGAAAATTTGATTTGATTTTTGATCCATTGATTGACATTATGAGCATTATTCCACACAATTTGGATACGATGACATGCATCAACCAAGTCAGCGAGCCTGACCACCCGATCCCGTTAGTCGCCTCTTCCAAGCATGGTTGAAATTTTACGGCAAGCGTGGGTTGCTGAAGACCTATTCTACCTCGGATCTTCATGGGTCCAATTAGGGGCTGAAACAAGGCCTTGTCCACTCGGAGACAGTATACTGTGTCTGAGTGGGGTATTCATGTTAAAATGCTGCATGGTATCTCAGAGTACTAGCACTTTAAAACTGACATTAGTTCGGGGAAATACAGACATGCGCGCCAAATCAGTGAAATATCCCTGAACGCGACTTTAAACCTCATGATATATCACCTCGCCATTTTCAGCGATGTTTGAACAGGCAAGCAAATCTAATGCAAAGCAAGGCTGTCAGCATTGAGAATACACGAAAGGAGTCGATTAAATGTAGTGTTACTTGGCACTATAATTGTGGCAATGTAATAAACTTGACCCTGACTTCCAGTTTGTACTGACTCCAGCGTTTAATAGCTTATACACCCGAGTTCTATACACCGCCCGTAGAGAACTCGGGTGTATACGATTGATGTCATTGTCACATAATCACCACATTAAATAGTCGAGTGTGTACGTTATACAATGTGGGTGACATATGTCTTCATTCTCATTTTTGAAGGAACGTCAGCATATAGATTATTGTCAATGTTTCAATGTCGTCAATTTGTGAAATGGCTGAAAATTTACATTTACAAATTGACTGTCAATTTCGTTGATTAATTTGACAAATAGAATGATTCTATCATAAGTAAGGTACGGGTTACACATGTGAATTTAATACTCAGTTTATAACATTTGTTTTACTGTCTTGTAAATGTTCTTTACAATGTATTTTACTTGTGTTACTTATTCTTTTAAGCATTTAGCTTTTTTCCATTGAAGCAAATGAAGAGTACTTAGAACAGTCATAACAAAATAAATGATATTCTCAAACAATCGGTGTTGTGTGTATTGACTGGGGTTTTCAGTTATGTGAAATGCAGATGATTTGCTAAAACAGGCTGACAAACCCGACTAGAATCTTTGTACACCGTTTTCAATTGATCAGCAGTCAGCTCTCGTAAGAAAGGTATATGGCAAGATTCAACAAATCTTGATTATTTTTGAGAATTTGTTGAGTCATGAAACATGCTTGATGAAATACACTTTTTTTCTGCCGTGCTTCCTTGACGTCGTTATTATGAAATTGCCATTATTAAGAAAAAAAAAACAGATGTGGGGAGTGTCCTGGTTTTGAACGAACATTAACGCGAGAGAAGGGAACTGGCGAGAATAGGAAACGCGAGTTGGTTCAGAGCACTGCTAAAGATTCCTGTTCAGTGAGGTATTAAATTGTCCCTATGTCATTTTAGTCCCTAAATGCATTTTGCGTTGTTACATGATTCGATCCCACAACGAACGGATGGGTGAAGAGTACATATTCTTCATCCGAGTGCTCGAAATGTATATTTAGAATAATATTGTATTTTTCAAATCTTAAATTGGCTCTGTGCTGATACCAGGATCACCAAAGATAGCACATTATATTATTCCATATTATTTCAACTCGTATAAATATGCTTCTTCAAGATTAGATATTTTTTTCAGCTACAACTACAGATCCAGATATTTTTGGAGTTAAAACTACGAGCCTGGAATTTAATTCCTTTTTAAAAAACAAAACCAGACCAAAAATTTTGGGGTAAGGTAATTTCTTTTTTTTCAACAGTCTGAAGTATAATCATTTCCTTCAAGAACAAGGATTCGAACCCACGATCATAGGTTTCTCGCATAGCAAAAGTACTCTGCACATAGACGATCCCACCCCGATTTATTAATGTTTGTTTGTTTGTTTGTTGTTTAATGCCGCACTAAGCAATATTCCAGCTACATGACGGCGGTCTGTAAAATAATCGATTCGGGACAAGACAATCCAGTCATTGACATCATGAGCATCGATCCACGCAATTGGGATCGATGACATGTATCAACCAAGTCAGCTAGCCTGACCACCCGATCCCGTTAGTCGCCTTTTACGAAAAGTATGGATTGCTGAAGACCTATTCTACACCGGAATCTTCACGGGTCCGATGAGATTTAGAACGAGATTTAGAACAATCCAAATAGAGAACAATATTAATTACTTTACATACCTCTAAAATTAATGTGTATCTATAATGACGTCAGAATATGACAATGTATAAACATAGTGCAATACGAACGCATTCATTAATTTCGCCATTAACACTGGGTGGTATTAGTAATGATATGAAGGTGTATTGGAGCATGACCTGAATCGCAATAGTGACTCCCATTGAGCAGTGGTAGAATCTTTGACAGAATACTTTGTGAATAGTTTGCAGTAAAAAGTTGGCAAACTACCTAATCAGTGTTGTTTGTTTCTGGAATGGGATTTCTAACTGTTTATATGGACTACTGAACAAAAGATAGCAAACTATGTTTGGAATTAACATATCAAAATCTTTATGTGAATACAAACTCCAAAAGTCACCATGAATCGCAACATAAATACAGTTATACTTAGTGGTTGATAATTAAACACATTTTACACATCACAGATAAATGTAGAAAGTTCAAATTTAACAGAAATCGTACAATGAATAATAAAAAAGACAAGTGTTTCAATGACATGTAAACTTAAGATTAAGTTGTAATACAAGAACAATATTAAATTGGTATTGCCAACAGTAAGAAGACAAACATGTCACTTTTGGAAAATAAAAATGTCCGTAGAATGTTTTACGTTTAGGTGATAATATCACATGAAAACACAGTCTATGTTATGCTTTGCAGAAGCATTGAATATATTCAAACGGTTAAAGGATCATTAAGATGTGAACGGTGTCCAGTTTCCCATAATAATAACAGAAAGTAACATCCTATTCGATCGGATTAATGGCAAGTACAATTCTTGTACAAACTATTGTCTTTACCAAACACAGATCGTGTGACAACTAAAGTTATTTGTCCATATCTCCATGTATCTTTCAAACATTGTCAAGTTAAACCCGACATGAAAAGTCATCACACAGAGTTCATTGATTCACAAATGAGCAGTTTGACCATAAAATAATACTGTTAAATGGAAAAGTATATAGAATGTTGTAAAACATCAACCACAATATCCATATTCAATATATATATCCAATAACACATGGATACGTATAATGTCATTTGCTGTCAGAGATGTCATTTCTTCTGGAACCTGTTCCCGGGTACGATTGGTCTAGGTTTCATAATTATGGACCTTGATGTAATCGGATCCTGCATTGCCTGCACGCTTTTTTTCATAGCTTCCATTTCTTGCTTCTGTTCTTTCATCATCTCAGTAAAGTCTTTTTGGACATCAGTAACTTTTTTCCTTGGTTCGTTAATTTTCTTCTCCAAATCTACATTCTTTCTCGTCACTGTTTTCATCTGATCTTTGAGTTTCTTTACATGACCTGACTGCTGGTGTAGGTCATTTCTCAAAACTGAGTTGTCCTGTTCCAGTTTCAGGACATCAGCATTCAGCTTCTGTATCTCTTCCCTTGCAGCAGTAAGCTCCTCATCCTTCTTCTGCAGTTGTTGTTGCATCAAATGTATGGTTGCAAAGGCGGCTTCGATTTCTTTGGACAAACTCTCAATCTTTTCCAGCGATAAAGCAATGTTCGTTATTCCCCCTCATTGAATCTACCTCCTCTTTGGTTTGACCTGCAGTATTTTCGATACGTCCCAACCGTATTTTTAGCTCCTCCAATTCAGTGTTGAGTTTGTTCACGCCTTGTTCATCTTTGATCTGTCTGTTCAGTTCATGGGCAGTTTCTTCCTTAGAAAGTTTGACAGCTAAGTCTTTGTAACCCTTTTCCCTCAGAGCAAGTACAAATTCCGTAAATGCATTTGGACCCCTGTATATGATAATGTGTAGGAACCGTTTTGCTCTCTCGACCCGTGTATGAGCAAATTCAATCTCTTCCCGATCGGTGAAGTCCAGTATGCCTTTAGCTATTAGTATGCCGTTGATGTCTTAACCTCTAAGCATCCTTCTATTGCAGGTGTGTTTACGCGTATGATTGTCTCTTCGTCTTCTCCCATGTTCCCTTTTTCAGTGACTGTCCTCGACATTGTGATATAAGCTCTAGGGTTCTGAAACAGAATTAATCATGCAAGAAATTGTATATTCACTGCAAAAAAAATCCAT